CAGCTACACACTATTACCTGGCCCTGTATCACATTTCTGCCTATAAAAAGGCAGCGTGTTTCAACATTATTTTCAGTTGCTGTGGTTGGGTTCACCCACAGTTCAAGATGTGTGCATTTAACCTGGTAAGTAATGAGGGTTCGAGTAGCAATCGCTGACCTATATTTATGCATTGATAGGATTCAGAATTGCTGCAATGTGGAGAATCTAAAAACTGAGCAGAGTCGCTCTGGTCTGAGAACATGGGATGTTTCAGACGTCCTTCCATGAATCACTTGGGCCTGTGAAGCTCCTAAGGTGACCTGACTGCCACAGACGTGACATCTTCCAGTGGCTCAGGAATGACTGATAAACTGGAGCGAAAGCACGCCAGAACTGGGCCCATTCTGTGGGTCACACTGAAGCATTGTTCTTCTGGCTGAGACCTGCAGAGTGCTCAAGAGTGGCAGGTCTTTGCTGCAAACACTCTTCCACATTTTTCATGCAGAGGAGGTAACACTCGTCTGCCTATCAGACACGATCTCTTCCCTGCCTTTCCTTTCACTTTTCCCCATCGGTGATCACCTCCTCATTCTCCGCTCAGGTGAAGTTCCTCAGCAGGCCCTCACGGTGCAGCACCAGCAACGCCTCCCTGAAATGAAATTCGTGTCTGCTTCCATTAAAGTCCCAAAGCTGTTAGCGTTATCAGACAGAGCAGGCTCGATAAAGCTCACGGCCTGACCTGTCCTTTTCCAATGGGCAGCAAGGACCATGATGGCTAATAAGTTTGACTTTTTACATTAAAAGCTTCCTAGATTCAGTCCCAGGAGGCGACTTGCAATGCTACAAAAAATTATTTTTCTGTATCAGTGGCAAAAAATGTAAACAGTTTAAGCTGTTTGGGTAAAAGTCTCAAGCAAACGACTCTAACGATAGCAATTGGCATCCTGCTGCTGGTGGTTACTACAGTGGCTCATTAAAATAAAGCCTGCAGTTTCCATCTTCCTGGCCTCGTCTAGAAGCCGCTTAAGGAAAATGGCCGGTCATGTGACTGACCCTTCGGCGCAGCAGATGCATGATTGATGCCACTCCGTGCAAAGGCTTCACCAAACGTGCTGACCACGGCACGAAGGAGGGAGTCGCCACACATTCCTGCACGGCTGAGAGTGTCACGGGTCAGGTAGAACGCCCCCCCTCCCCCGGGGATGAATAGGTAGAGCAAGAGGTGCCAGCCCGATTAATATCCATCATTTGCACTCTGTTTTTGCATTGCACATCAAAACAATTGCCATGTGTTTTAAAAAATGTTGAGCCTTGATGCACATAGTACAGTGAATAACCCAGTGACTTCCTTATTTTGGGGGGAAACTGATGGTTGGATTGATTTATTGCATTACTAATTACATATGCTCGTTTGAGCAATGACCCAACATGTCAACTGGCACACTGAAATGGAATTAGCTTTTTGTTTTTGTTTTTTTTCCATCAATGGTGAACTCCCGTGGCCCGGGGGGTCAGAGCTACACATTAGGTACACATTACCTTAGGTACACATCACATCAGGTACACATTAATTTATTGTGCTTTTGAGTTCTTCCACACCTTGTTCTCCCATGGCACACCCAGAGTCAATTTTCTTGCCTTGCCATTGATGCCTTACACCTTGTATATTACACATCCCTTTTCATAAAAGTTATATCCAATTAGGAAGATGGACACAACATGACAACCACTGCAGGGTTCATGGAGCCAGTAATCAGAGACGCAGGGCACAAGGCAGAGGACAGCTTGGGTAAAGGGCCATATGGTGACATGCATGGTAGCTTGGAGACGCCAATACACCTAATGCAGAATGTTTTATGGAATATAAGATCAAAATCCAGAGAATCCAGATGAAGCCTACACAAAAACGAGAAGAACATGCAGAACATGTACATTTACATTTACAGCACTTAGCAGACACTCTTTTCCTGAGTGACTTACAACCAGTGCTTTGTAGTCCATGACTGTTCTTCGATCTATAAGCTAGACCTAAAAATCGAGATCAAGTTTACGCTTGAAAACAGGAAGGGACTCGGCCATTCTTATTGGAAGAGGAAGTTCGTTCCACCACTGAAGAGCCAATATTGGAAAAAGTCTTGATGCATGTCGTCCTCTTTTAAGTGTTGGTGGTTCGAGACGAGCGGCGCTTCATGCTCTGAGTGGACGAGAAGTGACACGATTCTAGATCAGTGTTGCCAAGGAAGGAGGAGCTGTTCCAGTCTTGGCTTTAAAGGCAAGTGTTAGGGATTAGAACCTGATGCGGGCAGCCATAGGGAGTTAGTGCAGGTTCCGAAGAAGAATTTAGAATTTAGAGAAATTAAAGATAAGTCTTGCAGCTGCACTCTGGATCAGCTGAAGTGACCTTGTTGCCTTTAGTGAAAGACCAGCCATAAGGGAGTTGCAGTAGTCCAACTTGGAGATGACCAGGGATTGTACGAGTAGCTGAGTAGCGTCTGTCATGAGAAAGGGACAAATCCTTCTAATATTGTAGAGAAGGTATCTGGACAGGTTGTTAATGTGTGACGAGAATGACAATTCGTCATCCAGAAGGACACCGAGACTTCTTACTGTTTTTGAGGGAACAATAAGAGAGTTTTCAAAGGAAATGGTAAGGTCAAGAGTCAGTGATGAACTGTCTTTGATGTACAGCAGTTCAGTCTTGTAAATGCATACAGACGGAGCGAGCCGGAAGCGGATCAAACACACAGGCCTGAAGGTGCGAGCCTGCACTGCTGCCCACTGAGCCCTAAAGCTGGGCGTGAGCAGCAACAAAGCAAAATCCCTGCTAAATAAAGTGGGGGATTCATAGCTGCTGCCGAAAAAGTACCAGACCACTGCGGGAGGTAGATGCATGCCAGTCACATGTCAGTTACATGTCAGTCATATGTCAGTCACATGTCAGCTACATGTCAGTCATATGCAAGTCACATGTCAGCTACATGTCAGTCATATGCCAGTCACATGTCAGTTACATGCAAGCCACATGTCAGTTACATGCCAGCCACATGTCGGTCACATGCCAGTCACAAGTTAGTTACATGCCAGTCACGTCAGTCACATGCCAGTCACATGTCAGGCACATGCAAGTCACATGTAAGTTACATGCCGGTCACATGCCAGTCACAAGTCAGTCACATGTCAGTCATCACCTAGGGATCAGCTGCAATCTTGCCCACTTTCACGTGGACCAAAGGACTCCATTTGGTCATGAGATGGCCGTCAGTATGTCTGCCATTACCTACTTCATTCACCAAGGAAGGAAGGAGTCATTCTCAGCTCTTTAGACCACAATTTGGCTGGATGCATCACAGCAGCACAACCTCTAATATCAGCCAATTTGCATTCTGGATCTGGTGACTGGACACTGCTCCCTTATGCTGCCTTACCTCTAATATCAGCCAATTTGCATTCTGGATCTGGTGACTGGACACTGCTGCCTTATGCTGCCTTACCTCTAGGAGGCGCCTTCTCATCAGTATCTCTCTGGCTCTTCTGCGGATCCATCTCGCTGTGTATCACTATGCAGTCCATGGTCCTGGTTCAGCCCAGCTCCGCGGTCAGACGGCCATCCATGTCTGAGATTCAAACTGCCAGGTGTGATTCTATGTTACTGGATTTAATCTGTCTGTCCGTATGAGATTCAGGCTACTGGACGTGTGACTGTGAGTTTTTGTGAAGCAGTGCAGCTAGAGTTGTTTATTTTATGTTGGGTTCCTTCATGTCACCTGGAGGTCTTAAGCAGGTACCATGTGTGTGACATTTTAACAGACAGACTCTCCCTCTTTGGGTAATCGTTCCCTCTGTATCCTCAAAGCCTTGACTCGCTTTTCAGCAAAAAATAATTTGGGTTTTTAATAACTAGTATTTATGTTCCCATACGCAGGATTTCATCTATAGTACATGTCATTAGTTGTAATTGTCTGAATTTTGTCTTTAGTATTGGTATTTACAGTTGTGTTACTGATTGCACAAAAAGTTGATACGATGATATTTAAGCTTAATTTGGCGATAGGTTTGGCAAAGGGACCCAGGATTCTTTTTGTTTTATATTGCCGATAGTATTAGTTATTGAGAAGCTGATTTGGGCCACTACGTGAAACCTGAGCATCTATATTATTATCAGGGAAATGCCTGGTTTTTCCTCAGACCCCCCGCTACACGCGAAGAACAAGAACAACCACACCGTGACTGGTGATGTTTTTGAGTCCCTGTACCAGCTAGCTGTCTCAAAGTGAGGTTTATCAGTTTAAGACTTTAAACATTTCACTACCCGGAGAATAAAATAAAAAAACAGTATTGATCTGATTACTCGTGAGCTGATTACTCGTCACTTGTTTCCCAACACAGAACCGATCGCATATTTGATATGGCACTTCACAGATATTTTATTATGTTTCTAGGAATTCCTAGTATATTAAAATGATAAATCCCATGCTGGCCATTGCGGGTAGAAATAATGCAAAAAAATGCAAAAAAGACTCATGTCTTTATCTATGAAACCATGCCTTTAGCCTTTAGCTAGGTCCTATATTAAAATATAATGTTGGGATCTTTTTAATCGATCTCGTCAGGACTGAAAATACGTAATAAATTTCAACAGCAAAAAAGAAAATATGCAAATATGGAAGGTGAATGAAGAAGTCCTTCAATTCAACTACACAAATGATAAGTGGGTTTTTTCAATAAAGCGGCGATTCTCGAGAATAATTTAATTTGCGCTCAAGTATTTACCTGAATGGGGTGGAATACAGGTCAGACAAAGAGACTTATTAAAATTCTTATTATTTCACAGTAGTCTAATATTAATAATTAGATTCAGTTTCGATAAACTGGAAGGAGATTAATGTGGATTTGAGCGTATATTATCCCTTGTATTATCCATTCAAGTGCCCCTTTGTGCAAATAAACGTTGGATCATCTGACACCGCCTGTCGTACGGGTTAGTGAATGGTTTCCGTCGCGTTGCTGCTGCTTTGCATAGTTCCTTCTCCCAACACATTGACCCCGCTGGAGGATCCTGCATAAACTACACTCCTGCAAAACTTCTGCATTGGCATTTTCAGGGCGGATGGTAAACGTACCAAAATCTCGCTTCAACCTGCACCAGCACCATCCAGCACTTCACAGCTAAGTTTGATTTATTTTAGCTTGGTAGCCCAGGTGGACCTCGGGCTTTTTACCACGTCGTTAAAGGTCAGCGAAAAATCCCAAAAACATGAGTGGAGTACGCTCCGGCAGTGTTGCGTGTGATGGGGAATGGCGCTCGCAGATCGCCGAGAGCAAAGCTCGCATGAGCATGGAAAACTGAAAGCGAGACGCAATAATTCATGAAAGAGGAGCAGAAAGATAGAGCAGCGAAGGAGGACAGCGCGAAGCGACAGCGAGCCGGTGATGCGGGAAGACTGATGGCCTGGATCTATAAAACGCTGTTTTTGCAGCGTGCTGGACGCTGCTTTGGAGTAGATTAGGGGCAATGTGTCCTAATGAATGTTAGTTAAAATGCCGAACTCTGGAGCCTTGCTTCGTTTGTAGAACTTTAACACGTATATTGTGTTTATTAATAATGTTTTTAAAGTTGGGCTTATTTTTCCTTTTAGATCCAACCCATCTTAGCGCCCTGACGTGCGTGCTGTATATTACACTTAGGTGGTAGGGCAGAGTAAAGACCTTTATTAGGCGCACTTACAGTATTAAGCATTTGAATGATGGCTCACGATCATTCTGACAGCAGCAGCGACGTAACGACAATCACTGAAGCAAAGAGGAATCCAAAGCTTACAGACTGCAATGGCTGCGTAAAAACATGTGTCATCCTCCTTTCTCAGGACGCCCAGAGCGGCTCGTGGCCCAGACTCCTGCTCGCTAAGATATGGAGTCCCAACAGATTGTCCTCGGCGGTGTGCGTGGTGTCTCTCTCCGTTTTCCTGGGACTGGTGGTAAAACGCGTTGACTGGGAAGCCGAGCTGAGCGGCAGCAGTGAGAGCAGACAGTCTGGCTCTTCTGCTCATTCCGTGTCAAACTGCGCCGGGGAGCTGCTGCTGACTTGGTGGCATTTGCTTTCCCCCGTCTCCACCTTCCTGTGTGCCTTCTTCTGGGTCGGCTTGTATCTGATCCGCTGCGGAGTCCTCATAAAAACTTCTGTCTTTCTGCTGACCGTTTACCATCTGGGCGAAGCAGCGGCGCAGTGTCTCGTTGACGGGACGGATGACCGGCTGCTCTACTTCACGGCGATCGCGGTGCTGCTCGCCTGCTTGGCAAGCGGGTCATTCATGGTGCTGAGACTCCAGCGAGGACTTTCCGTCGTCGTCCTCATCAGCGTGGTCAGGACAGTCTCCCTGATCTCCCTGAATAAAGTTCAGGCCAGCTGGAGACCGTACTTGGCGTACCTGGTCGGGGTGCTGGGCATCCTGCTGGCGAGGCATGCTCAAAGCCTCCTGCCGACCGAAGGTATCCGCAAGGAGGGCTGTACCTCCATGACCGTAGCGGCGGAAGATACCCCCGCATTTAAAAGGCGAAGGAGGTCCAGCTCCGTAATATCCTCAGACATGGCAGAGAGACCGTCCAACAGCAAGTCGCACAGGAGGACATCGCTGCCATGCCTTCAGAGGGACCAGGTAAGAAGGAGTGTTTTGTACCCCCTCTCTGCCGAATATCGTATAAGTAAGTGTGCAGGCTTTGCCGAGGCGGTATTTTGGCTTTACGGTCGACGGGCTTCTGGATTTGGGAGTGTGTCAGAATGCAGAGCCGAACAAAGTGCGGGTCGGTTCTCTTTCAATGCAGAGGCAAATTATGTGGCGTAATTGACATTTGCATTCTTTACATGTAGTGTTGGAGGTAGGTTTATTTTGGCAGACGTGTATTATTATTATTATTATTATTATTATTATTATTATTATTATTATTGCTGATATTTAAGAAAAATCCTCACATATGTTTATTCACGTGTCTCTTTGGTAAGAGCTTAATATAGTTAGTCCGGAGTTTATTAGTGATTGCATTTACCCCGATATACGTGTAAAATATGCCAGCGCCGTTGTGCAATTTGCACGCTGAGTGAAAGCTTTCTGTAATGTAATATGAATGTTTGGTCATATACAAATATGGTACTTTGGTGCCGCTGGGGCTTTGCATTTCATTTCATGCAGTTTAATGGCCCTCCCGGGTAGAAACGAAAAGCACGTATGAGAAACCACATAGCTAATGAAGTCAAAATAAGGTAGATTATCAGAGGCCATGGCTTTAAGTGGAACAGTCGTTATTGAAACTAGAAATTAAGAATCCAGTTGTCTTTAGGATTTATATTTACAAAGGGCATCACTTTCAATGTCTGGTGGGCAGGTTTCGCGTTATATACAAATTTCAAGAACTGCCTTTTAAGATTTCCTCCTAAGCATAACAGTGTAATAACATGTATTCATTTGGAATTTGTTATTTATTTGTAGCACAGTTGTAGATATTTAAATATTCTGTCAACTAAACTACATTTTGATTTTTTAAATAATTTATACTGAAAACTGGACCCTTTCACTTGTGCAACCTAAATATTAAATAACAGCATATATTTTGGGGTTTATGGCAGCAAGTAACATTTGTTTAATTATCGGTGTTGGACGTTACTAGTACTTTCAGAAAGAATAATCTCAAAAACGACAAGCAAACTCATCATAGTGGTCATGAGTCTAACCAATACGTATATATTACTGGTATTAGGTATGACTGATTATACCTATAATTTTCTGTTAAGTGGCTCTTTATCAAATAAATTGCGACAGTGAAAACTTACATGGAAAACAGGTATTGGTGTGGGATTTTTTTTTGCCTGGACAAGGATGAGTAAGGAGGCTTACGTGTAAGACGACATAAAGAACATCAGCATCTTACTTATAATTAAATTGATTTGAAGACAATAACTGGTGAAATAGGCTTTTGACATCTGTGCACCTGTGCATAACTGAAGAAAAAAATCACACACACACGCGCGCGCATATATATAAATATATACACACACACTATCACAACTTTTGTGTGTGTGTATGTATGTATGTGTGTATGTATGTTTTTTTTTATAAGTAGCCTTTGTATAATTCTGTATTTTCTATCTTAAGTTTTATTTGTAGTTGCACACGTTTAGCATAATGCGATGCAACAGCGAAAGGCAATAACCTTTTTTTGCTGCACGTGGTGGCACAATGTTAATTTCCTTTTATATTTTTATACATATAGGCCTGAATAAAATGAATGTTTACATTTTGACAATTTAATAAGAAAACAATAATGGTAGGGCGAGTAGCAGCAACAGCAATTAACAACAACAACAATAATATTGCTATTAATAATACTAATACTAATAATAACAACAAATTAACTATAAAATATATGACTTATACCCTGAGTTGTTTACGGATTTGCCTTTAATACAAGCCCTCTAGTGACAAGTGTGTGAAACTACAAGCAGTACAGCTGGAACAGCATCTGGTCGTAACCTTGTTCCTTCTAAGTTAAACTAATGTATTACTGCAGTGACCAGCTCCACTGCAGGTGGAATATTGTGGATGAATATGGGGGACGTGGTGAATATGGCAAAGTCAAACAGAGATGATAGTTTAGGTCCAGCTGATGTATTCTTTAATATGATGGCATTTGCTGGTGTGCTGTAGTGCAGGATCGGAGAATGTTCCACGGTGTCCACGCCATCAGCAGAGGTGGACGTCTGAGTGCTGCTAAGTTCCTCGGATCAAATTTTAAAAATGTTTTAAAGCAAACTCCTGTTACTGCTTTGCAATCGCAAGCCCCCTAGGGTCACCCCAACTTTTCAAAAGGCTGCACCAAGGAGGTTTGTGATTGGTTAATCCTGACCCTTTCTTAGCTTCTATTGTGCCATCTACACGTGTCACTCACTCTGCTCAGTTACAGTGAAGACAATCAGAGCACACACACTGTACAGTATTTGAAGCTCACTGGGGTGGAGGGGGCCCTGTTCATGGTGCAGAGGACCCTGCCAGTAGCCACTGGCTCCCTGGCTGATGATGTTTCATTGTCATTAAAAGGTCATTATTGCTTTATGACACCAGCATCACTGCAGTGGGCCATTTACTGAGCTCATTCAAAGTTAGTCAGTATAGTTATTCTGTACTGATTACATACTGTATTTGGATGACTTTGCACAGCTGTCAGTAACCCGTATGTGTGCTGTATGTTTGCTGCGTGTCTTTTCCTCTGGGTTCTCTAGTTTATTCCCACATGTAGAAACATGAATTTTGTACTTTAAATTGTCCCAAGTATGTGAGAGTGTGAGTACAACTGGTTTCTGCCGCCTTGTGTCCCGTGTATAATAATAATAATTGATGATTTAACTGGAATAGCTCCAGAGTCACTGTGACTTTGTTCTGGATTCTCTACTGGAATTTGCAAGGATGGAAGGTTTTGTTCCAAAAAATGTATATAGAACAATCTCAGATCTTCTCAAGGAGCAACTGCAATCGTCACTGAATGCGCACATTTTTCATGTCTTTATTACACCTCATGATCTTATCTGATCCAATCTGCAATGGTCACCTTTTTTAAAGAAATGTAAAGGTCAGCACTGTTTTTGCCATCGTATTTTGTACAAGTTAACTGTTTGGTTAGCACTTAATAGTCAGGTATGTGAATGAAGTAGCGTAATACTCCAATTTTGACCACAAAGTAATTCGAAACAATAACAAGTTACCACACAAATATTATCCTGGGTATCAGATAAAGTTTGTATTTTTCATTTACTGTAGCTATCCAAGATATTTGGACATCCAAGATATCCAAGTAGAAATTATTAAAATAAACATGAACATTTTTGTTTAAATATATTTAATGGTAGCTGTTTTCTTTCTTTCTCTGTATCTCAAATTCAATATATTCTTCATTGTGGTTTTAGACTAAGTCACTAAAAATATTTCTCAGTCAATTGTGTGAACAGCCATGCATGTTTCTTAGGTGCCTGTGATAGGGTCTTACTTTCTCTTCCAGCTACGTGCTTTTTGCGTGGAGAAAGTAGGTCACTTGAGGTTTGGCTCATTGGGCAGAGAAACAATAGCAGGGGCCCTGTCCACTGACTGGTGGTAAAGACAGTGTGTTTTGGAAGCGTGTTGCGGGTTGTCCCTTCGATATTGGAATGCCTGCACTTCCCACAGCTGCCACAGGGAACTACATGGAGTCCACGTGCCCTGCAGAGTTGCTCCAAGTGGTTAAGGCACACTTAGATTAACCCAGCATGCCTGTCTGGGAGTCTGATGTGCAGCTCAGGAGTTTGCCTTGGGAAGCTTTTCAGACCATTTTACCATCGCACTCTCGACACCCATCATGCAATGCGGCAAGGCTCCCTCCACCCCCTGGGTCTGCCTTGCCCGTCGGCAAAATCCCGGCCCCGTTCTGCTGCCACTGTTCCTGGAGATGGGAATCCTGACTCAGAGTTTTACAGCAGAACAGTGGCATGATTGAAACTGGTCTCCAGTCCAATTCAACTCCAGTAAAAACCATTTGCCTGAATCCGGTGTGTTCTCCTGTCACACCAGTGTGATGGGGGTTGCTGTGTGATCTAGGAATTTCTTCCCTATTCAGATTTAACAACATGCGCTAGACGTTAAAATGGTAGCAGCACTAGACCCGTCAAGCATCTATAACGCTGGCTGTCTGTGTCTTGGCGTCTTTCACATTCACCTGGTTGAATTTTGTAATTATGACTCACAGCCTTCCGTATCCCTACAGAGAGGGGAACAGACCGGGGCTTTGGTTTTTGAAGGTGAACGGATTCTGAGCAGTGCCCTTTGCCTGACGTAAGCCGGACTCCAGAGAAAATTCCTGGAAGTGCAGCAGTCCTAGGTTTTCCGCAACTGGAGCCAGAGTTTTGCTGTCACACAGAAGTAGGTTTCACTGCGTGTGGCCACATTTCCCTTTTAATTAGCTAATTAGAGTCCTCGTAAAGCCAGACTTTCACCATAACCATGACTTCTGTGCTAACGTGGGAGAGGTGGTTTAGAAAAGCCCATTAGCATGGTTATTTTTGGACAAGTTTATTCGTCTTTGGTTTTCTCCTAGGCCAGGGCTGTCTGTCGTGTCTGTTCCCAAAATGCTTTGCAGGCAGACAGCCCATAACCGTCCGTCACTCTGTGGGTCACATGCCGGCACGGGAGGGCAACATAAGTGGAAGGACTGACGCATCTCTCACTGTGGGCAGTCAGTGCTTGGCAGGTGCCCAGCATCTAGTTCTGACGTTGGTGTGCAGGATTTATCCAAGACTCCCTGGATGACTTGGACACTCCCCTTCCTGTTGATACAACGCCAGTCACGGCATGTTCCTTGTGGAAGTCCTGGTGGATTCTAACTGCAGAGTGAGCCGTGTGGCCGTTCTTCCCCAAGAACGTACTTCTAGGGAATTAGACACCGTCGGGTTCTTCTATTAAAACCATACCCCAGTGTGTGGAGTATTGACTGTTAAAGTTCTCTCCGTCGCGCAGCCGACGCATAGCTGCTTTTGTTTTGGTTCTGACTGGTTTGGAAGTGCCACTGCGGCCCATGTGCCAAACCTCACTGGTTTGAAAGCCAGACCCCCTGACCCTCTCCAAACATCACTCCGCATCCA